CTCTCGACCCTCGGGCGGGCCTTGAGGGCAGCGGGGGTTTGAGGGGCGCTCGGGAGCCCCTACCGTTACCGGCCTCCCCCATTGCTCCTCCCGTAGGTGCGGGAGCCCTTTGTTGAGGGCAGAGAGAAGAACCCTGAGCGCTTCACAAGGAAGCACCGCGCTCCTTTTCTGCGGTACCTTTCAGATCTGCAGAAGCAAGAGGAGCGCGGGGAGCTGCTGCAGCCGCTGATCTTCGTCTCGCTGGTTTTGTGCTCGGTCCTGCTGTACTTCAAGGTGTCTCTCATGGATCCGGGTTTTGTTAAGGCTGAAGAGGAAGAGAAGGTAGAGTAGCACTTCATGAGTGGAGAAACTGGTGAGGCTGTAAAATCTATAGGCTTTTCTTTCTTTTCCCCATTCTGTTAGATAAGAACAAGCTGAAACTGTTTCTGTTGCACTTGGCTTAAAGGAAACATACACAGACGACTGGAGATCAGGATGGACAGTCTCCATATTCTATAACAGCAGTAGATTCTATGTGCATCTTTTACACCACATTCCTCTTCTAAATGCACTGTGCCACTTGAGCACAAGTCCTCCCTCACATCAGAGGCTGCAGTACCCTATGGAATGTATATGTGACCTGTTTTGTGGTCCAAGTGCAAAAAGCCAAATGGCAAGATTGGAAGAAAGCGCTCTCTGCAGCTGTATTGAACTATTTATAGATCTATTGCCCTCCAAAAGGACATGTACAAACAAGTTACAGTGAAGTTAAATAGAGATGAAAAGTTTCGGTAACAGATCAGCTGCTTCAGGTTAACTGCCTACAAAGTGTGTAGGACAAAAGCATTGTGAGTTTTAATCATTCATCGTTAAAGCACATGTTGGCTGTGGTAAGAATAAGTAGCACTGCTTAGACTGAAAAGATACCATTATTGTGATTGGAAGTGAAGCCTAACCGTGTTTATTTTTGTCCCAAAGTGTAGCCTTGGGATCAGTGTGCTGTCTTGCCCATAGTTATTTCTGTCTCTCTGAAAACATTCTTTTGTTGGTTACAGTAGCCTGTTTTCTCTCACTCTACCTTAACTGTCTGCAGCTCCTATAGAGCTTCGAAGGAATTACTCTGTTTTAACCTTCTTAATGACAGAGATAACCAGCACTGTGTAACTACTAACTAAAAGGATACAGACAGCTCAGTCGTGCCACAGCAGCAGCACACAAAACCCTCCTCAGTCACTCCTTTCTCTTTTCTTTGTAGGCAGCCAAAAGTGAAGAACAAAGTACAGTGATACCCCTGGTTCCAAGTAATGTTAAGCTGCGACGTTGTGGTTACTGCATGGTGAAGGTAGGTGTTCATGGTGAAGGCAGGTATTTGTAACATGCTAAAAGACAATGGGATGGGCAATTTCCAAGCTTACATTTTTTGGCAACCTCTTTGTTCAGCTGCTGTTGCTGGTGTTTTTCTGGCCTGTCATTGCTGCTCATTGCTCAGTGGTTTGGAGGCATGGCAGATCTGGTTAATTCTATCAAAGGGTGACCCTTCTGCTGAAAAACTCACAGAAAAAGTAAGCAAGCAAATTGAATTCCAATACAGTCCTGAACTGAAGTGATCCAAAGGAATTGTGTAGCTAAAGAAGTAGCAACAGACATTGGCATGTCTGCTGGTTTTCCAGGGCTGAAACAATTCCCTGCTGGCTTACAGAAACAAGGATCTTCTGCTACATTCTTACTGCCATGTCAGTCAGACCTTACAGTATTGTTAAAAAGATTATTTTGAAGATACTGTGGTAGAGAGAAAGGCAGCCAAGCATGACATACAAAAACTGTTGGCATCTCTGTCATTTGGAGGCCTAAACCCAACAAAACATTGTAAAAGACAGCATGAAGGAAAAATCAGAGCAGTTAAATTAGCTCTTAAAATAGTTTGCCTAAAGCCTGGAAAGGCCTGTTTTCGGAGTGATCCTTATCAGCGTAATAAAATCAACCATTATCCTAGCTTCCATAAACTCCTGAAGAATATCTACCAGGAGAAGTGAGCTTATAACAAGAGGAAAAGCTGTCAAAACATATATACGCTTTGGGGAACAAATCCTAGGACAACACTTTTCTCAGCCAGATCTTTCATCTTCTCTATTCCTGGCACTTGAGCCACTTGCCTGTGTGAGTGAAGCAGAGACACTTCTCGTAAAAACATCCCATCCCTGCCCACTTTATTCAATAGTGGTGGTCTTAGCTTTTCACATCAGCCTTGAATAGACTGATTGGCTCTATCTCCCTCCCTTACACACTGGACTTCCTATAAATAGGTAGATAAAAAAAGAAAATGCATAGCTAGAAGTAGTGTGGGAGAATAATTTGATTTGGAACTCATTCATTTGGATCTGTACCAGGAAGATCACGATCCCCTTTAGTTGTCTTAGCAATGTATGTTGTGCTGTTGTCTCCAAAAAGAGTGCTTTTGGGACAGTACCGCTGTGGAGGAAGGGAGTTTTACGTGATGGTCTCTTCTACCACACTAGCAGACTACTGCTAGTGGTTTTCTTCTCTTCTTGCTGGTTTGTGTTTTGCAGCAGCCGATGCGAGCCAGGCACTGCCAGCTGTGCCAGCACTGCGTGCGCCGCTATGACCATCACTGTCCCTGGATTGAGAACTGCATAGGAGAAAAGAATCACCCCTTCTTCATAGTCTACCTGAGCGTGCAGCTTGTCGTGCTGCTGTGGGGAGGGCAGGTTGCTTGGTAAGGCCTAGAGGAAGCACTCTGACCTCTGAGATGGCTGAATGTTCTGATGCTGCTGGAGTCCCATGGAAGGGATTATGTAGAGCAAAGCAGTAACTGTTGGCGTTGGATCGTTACCCTCTTTTGCATCCTGGAGCCCCTAGTCTGGGGGGATGACATAGCTCATCAAGATTGACGACACAGCTCATCAGTAGCTGAGCAGAATCTGATAACTTAGGTTTCATTGTTCATCTTTAATTACCAGAATTCACAGCAGTACAAAAGCTGATTTTGCTTCAATTACTGTAGTAAGACCTTGGTTTACAAGTCCAAGTACTGGAAACACCAACAGGGTTTCAGCCTGTTCAGGAGAGGAGTTAACCAAAGATGATTGTCTCAGCTGTCAGGGGAACCAGTATCTTTTAAACTTCTTAGATAATATGTCATTATTGGTGCAGTCTCTTAAGAGTTTATAGTATATTAACTCTCTGTAGAATGTGATTATCAGAAGTCCAGTAGTTATGAACAAACTTGCATGTTCCAACAAGTTTGCTTGGCTTCAGGAACTAGTTCTACATTTTTAACTACAAATTTATTGCTGTTTGAATTGACAGGTCAGGCCTCTACTTTGAACAGTCCTGGGAGTGGCTGAATCACAACATTTTCCTCCTCACATCCTTTCTCTTGATAGTCATATTCACCATTGTTGTCCTGCTGCTGCTGATTTCACACCTCTATCTGATCTCATGCAACACCACCACCTGGGAATTCATGTCACATCATCGCATCTCCTACCTGCGACACTCCGAGTTGGAGAATCCCTTTGACCAAGGGGTAATCCTCAATCTCTGGAGATTCTTCTGTTCGTGCCACCTCACTGCATGGGAGAAAATGTATTTTCACAGGAACAATGAGCCTGTCTAGTCACAGCAGCACCTACCTGGTAGAGCGCCAACACAGCTGTTGGGTAAAGCTTTGCTAATGCAATTGCTGCTCTTGCCTTAGATGGAACTTTAGTACATCGTGAACTATGCAACTTGTTCCACAACCTGTTCGTCCTGCAAATTACACTTCAAGGATAAGTCAGGGTTATTTTTTTTTACGTATGAATAGCACTGTTAAAGGTGAGACACTGGTTCTGGGAAGGCCAGAAAGGTGAGTTCTGGATGGAGCAAAGGTCTCTCTCTAAACTTACTTCCTTTTGTAACTGCATCCACATCTCCCCAGAAAAGATAAATGAGCAGGGTGATCATCCACATTCACTTCCCCAAAGTTTCCCTCTCCTTTTGCTGCCAGGGAACAGCAATTACAGACAAAACCAGCCAGAATCAATGTAATTCCTGTGGCCTTTCAACCTAGTTCTCACTGTGAGAACTGCAGTGCCTTTTGTCAGTAATGTTAGGCACGTAATAGAAATACTTGAGTCAATATTTGGACAGTCAAAGGCAAATTTCATTCTGACCACATGCCTCAACTTAATGCTTTTTTTACAAAGATCTGAGGCTCTAATAGTGTTAATGTGCATGAGAAACAGCTGTAAGAGACCAAATTCAGCTTATGAGATAATTAGCCTATACTTTGTGATGCCCTGACCAGCTTCCTAAGGGTTTTTTCTCTAAGCTGATGGTGCTGCTAACAATTCACAGACTATTTTAAATCAAGTCAGCAAAGAATGATACCACACATACTTACCTACAGAATTATTTCTGCAGATAACTTCATGCTCAGGCCTTTACTGTAGCTTGTGGGGAGAGAACCCGTAGCAGAGGTGGGTACTTCTTGCCTAGCTCAAGTAACACTGTTAGCAATACTACTACCTCAACATACTAGTAAGATTTTTATCAAAGAATACCAAGTTTTAGTGCAAGAAGAAAGATTCTAGCTCTTGTGTGTTTCACTGAGATGAGGGAGTGCTGAGAGCTTTCTAGGACAGCAGCAAACTTAGTTGTGTTCCAGTAGAATAAAAGGTCAGACTTTCATAATGAACTAAAGGAAGTATAGGATGAAGAATTTTAGCTTTAAAAGCAGAAAAGGCTGTGGTGTGTCCTGACCATTTCCTGTAAAAAAAAAAAAACCCAAACAAACCAAAACCAACAACAACAAAAAAACCACCCAAACAAAAGCACCAAAAGAAACCTTTCATTAGAATTATTTTGTGCCTTAATTGCCTTGGCTCAGGAATTGACACCAATTCAAGAGCACTGGTAAGATGCGCTCAGGGTTTAAAGCTGCTGAGCACTCATGGAGGACAGTGTAATCGCTATCACATTATGATAGTCCAAAAGCAGTTTAACAACAGCAGAAGCATCCCTTCTTTTTTTTTTTTTTTTACCAACTCCAGTATTTGTGATCTGTTTCCATCTGGTTAGTTCAGGGTAGAAACTCCTAATAGAGGGATATTTGAACACTAAGAATTGTTTTCGTAACAGTGGCAGATCATCCAGAAAAGAGTCTGCACTTGTGTCAGTGTGGCTCACCTGCCACATTGCAATTCCTGGTTCTTCAGGTATCAGTCAAATAGAAGTTTCTCAGCAGATACTACAGCTCAAAACACATAGTTTTGCTCCACTTGGTAATTCTTTTTAAAATGCAGCAGGATGGTAATTTACTGGGGGTTTTACTGTACTTTATAAATTAAAATATTAAATATGCCTTTTTTGGTTATATGTCTCTCTCTGAACGTAAGTTCTAGGTTTCACCTGTGCTAACAATCCACTTCACTGATCACTTCACAACGGCTTTGACCATAAGAAAAGTCACAAAACACTCTTGGGGACCAACAGCAAGCCAGGCAGTACGGTTCAAACAAGGGGGAGGAAAATGCATACCCTGCTTTAAAAGGGCCATTACTCTGCAAGGCAGAGCTGGAGGATGAAGGAAATTTGGAGGTGGGGATTTTCAGGTGCAGTTATACTTGGCTCTGAAAAGATGAATTCTAGATTCAGTGAGTTATCTATTTTGCACAAAGAAAGCTCTTACCTCTGAATTCTTGACCAGCCTTGATGTAATAGTGACAACTCACTATCTGCACCCAAGCCTTATCTCCAGACACAGCACAATTGCATTGCTTCAACTTCTGTCTACCTCTGCTGAAGACAAACTTTCTGAAAGAGTAAGAGCTGTGTGTCCCTATTTGTCATCAATATGATGCTTCATTCTAGATACCCTTGTGGGTTGTTTTTTTGCCCAACAAGCTAATATTATGAATTTAAGAGGAAAAAATGTATCTTACCAAGTATAATTACAACACGTTACCAGGCAAAAGAGATCACCTTTAACTTACTGATTTTCCAGTATTAACACTGTTGTTATTTAACTATCCCACCAAAAGATACAGGATACATATTGATAACATCTGTGGAGAGACAATTTGACTGCAATCATTTGTCTGTGACAGTGGATGACACCATGCAACACAGACAACTTGAGAGAGAATGAAGGAAGAAAGATAATACTACCATGAACATTTAGAGAGAAAAATAAAGGCCTGCCCGTTGGGCAGAACATGGTTAGCCCTGACCCGAAACATTCAGCTAACACAAAGGAGATGAAAAGCTGAAATTTCATTATAAGGAAAGGTTTCTTTATTTTCAAGAATAGCATGTGCAAAGCTGTGGCTTCTTCATATCATTAAAAACAACAGTTGAGATTTAGCATACTCAAAGAAGTAGAAAGAGACTTGGATTATTGTCAAACCCAAACATCATTGCCTTGGTTGTGTTAAAATCCATTCCTTCTCCAGCATACACATAATTATGAGTGGGAATGAGCTTAAAATCATTACAAAGAGGGAATGCTGTATAGCTTTTATCTTTTCTAGACCATAGTTGAGAAGTGGCCATTCCCTCTGCTACTATGCAACTTTAAAAAGCCATGCTACTTACTTAGGCTTTTTGCAAAGAGTAACCTGGGTTGCAGAGATTATTTGATTTCATTAACTTAAGTCCATTGTAAATTCCAAATTTCCATCTATATTCAATGGCAGCAGAAGATATATCCAGGCAAAATCTAATTGCTCCTTATAAATAACTGACATCCAGTATCCCTCCAACAGAAGAGCCTGAAAAAACTACAGCAGTTTAACTCGGCTTGTGGGGCACTCTCATCCCAGGGTCATCAGCGCTACCACCAGATCTAGGAATTCTGTTGACTTTTCCATTGCTCGTGCCAAGTCCTCTGTTCGCTCTCTCAAGGTGGTAACAATCTGTTCATGTTTTTTATAGCTCAGGAGTCAAACATCTAAAAGGTGTCTGGAGACAAAGTCAAAGTCCTTGAATACAGCCTGCTCCTTACGGGTTAGGAGAGCAACCTCCTCTGGAGGAGTAAGGATGGGCTTTTGTGATGTAAACTCTTCATCAAAGTTGCTAATGTCAGTTGGATCTCTTAAAGTGGGCACAAAAGGGGGCTTCAGAGTCCTGGCCAACAAGGCATCCCAGTCAATCCCCTGTAAGAGAAGGAAGTGAACAGGCCAAATTGACATTAAGATTATTTATGAAATGAGATGTTGTTGATGGCTCAAAAGGTAGGTGTATTTGTACCTAGAAGTATCACAATCAGAAATAAACTAGTGCTGGGAGCTTATAGATCCCAGAAAACATTCTTGTGAGATGTCATTCCAAACATGAAACACATTCTGAAATAGAGCACTGAGGTGCAGCAGAAGCTAGCACTAAGATCTCACTGATGACTAATAGGAAATATACCTTCATATCAACAGAAAGCACATCACTCTCAGCTCAGACACAAGAGATGAGGAGAGATAAAGTGAGTTCCTACCTTAAAAAAGGCCTGGATTTTAATCTCTTCTGCATCTTTTTCCCCTGCTCCCAGTCTACGCTCTGGACATTTCCGAAGAAGCTGCAGGAAATACCAGTTCAAAATTAAACAGTGGGAACAAGGGTGGACAGAAATCACGTTCCACAGAAAAACAGAAGAAAGGAGATGGACTGACCCCTCAGTATGTTCTCATTCTCACTTTGCAGCAAGGTCATAATCTGCTAGTACTAGCTCAGACCTAGCTCTTTGTAAACAACTTACCCACATCAGTAAGATACTTGCTATAAACTGCATGAAGCATCTCATCTTAATTGTGCACCTCTGACTACTGGGTCACATTCAAAAACCGGATCAAGCCATTCCGACTGAATGACTTTGACATTCCTGCCCTTGAATCAACACTTTTCCACATCAGACTTGGCAGCCACAGCCCCCAGTAAGAAGTCTGCTTAGTCATCCTTAGACACAAGAATAACATTTATGTAAAGGGAAGGAAAGGAAACACATGTGTAAATGTTTCCTTAGTCTGTGTAGGCAGCTCCAGATTACAGGCACAAATGTTATCCAGTCCTAACAGAGCCCCTCTGGATTCACTTCCACAATAAATGCAAATTCCTTAGGCTCCCAGAGACCCATCAAGCCCATTACCTTCCGGATTATAGAAAGTGCCTCAGATGAAAGGAATCGTGGGTACCGGACTTCATCGTTGACAATGCTGTCAAAGACTTCCTCCTCATCGTCTCCAGGGAATGGTGACTGCAATTGGGACACTTGATTATTTAATCCACATAGCACCCATTCCTCTCTACTAAGCAGGGATGAGAACAGCATACAACTGTATGGATTAATTAGAGTTTGGCAAGCACTACGAATGAGTAAAATGTGATTTTAGTCCTAACAGTTGACTACATTCAGCAAAATGTTATCTCAGGTGGTTGGGTGCTATTGCCCCAAAACTGTTTAGGGAGATCCTCTTAAAGAAAGGTCTTACCTCACCAACAAGCATCTCATAAATGAGCACACCCAATCCCCACCAGTCTACTGCCCGAGTGTACGAGACGTCTGTAAGGACTTCTGGAGCCAGAAATTCAGGGGTGCCACAGAAGGTGTTTGTGCGGTCTCCAAAACCTATTCCTGTAGGAAAAGAACACTTGCGAAATCCAGCACACAAATGGCTCACATGCAGCCTCACCTTCTGGAAGC